CAGTGAATCTTACTTTCACTCCAAAGACCCACACAAGCACAGAAATATTAGGATTCAAACTTCCTCCAGCAGAGAAATTCACTTGTTCCCTGTGGAAAGTTCCACCTTTCAGAGATCCAAACAGGCATCAAATCTTGGTACTGTATTGAGGGACTATACTCATCCAGAGGTGAAACACTATTAGGGTTACAAAGACAGCCACTTTACTACTGGTGTGGTAAAGGATTCTTTATGGCACTGTCCAAATAACTCACAGTAACAGTAATGGGCAAATTCCAAATATTCTTCTCCCTCACAGCATGTCTTAGGCTTCCTTGTTGCACCTCCAACTTGGGAGACGATGTGCATGATCTCATTTTTTCTTGAAGAAGCTGACACTTTCTAGGAACATCCTAACTCCCTAGAAGTGAGGATCCTCAACTCTGGAACTCAGGAATATGAACATTGTACTTTATTTCAGGCTTAAAAATTAAACAGGAAAATCAACTGGCTTTTGTTCTCCTTTAATACTTTCTGTACATCTTAGGTACAAGAAGTGATTGCAGATTTCTTCAATACCTCAACTGAGCAGTGATCTTATCAATGTGAGTACTACCTCCTCTGTAACTTATATTTACAGAGTTGACTAGAGCACTGAAAGGATAAGGGACTTATTACGATAACAGAGTTAATAGGTATTGATTTCACATTTTCCTGGCCCCAAGGCTAGCCATGCTGTGTCTCAAAGAGTTTATAGAGATAAGAAAATAGGTGTATCCTGTTCTTCCCAAGTTTTGGCACTTTCTTCCTTTTGAAATTCCTTTGAAATACTATAGACATTGTACTTACTTATGCATATACCATATTCCCTCAGAAGGATACAAGCTTCTTGAATACAGGGATGGTTTCCTTTTTAGTTTTACCAGCACATTGCACAAGTCCTTAATCGTTTTTTAATTGAATAGCTATTAATATTTTGTCAATTGCTTTTTTCCCTAAAAAATAAGGTCCGTAATATTTCTAAACATTATATATTGCCTACTCTTTTTGACAGTTTGAGGATCAATCCGTGGATACTCTCAAAAGCATATTGCCTCCACCAGTGATTTCCTATAATTGAATTTTCTATATTTGGTGCAGATTAGCTGTTCTTCCTCTTCCCAACTTGTCTTCTCTGATGCCATTTCTCCTTCCTGATTCAACACAGCAGGAACTACCTCTATCAAAAAGTTTACTATAAAAGTCTGAATACACCTTTTCAGTTTTTCATCAGAGTGGCCCTAACTCCACTTTCACCTTGAAATAATCTGGTGGTGGATCAGTGGAATAGGTTAGGTATGTAAGACACAGTAGTCAATAACTATAGTAATCTATTATTTGATAAACCCGAAGACCCCAGTTTCTAGAATAAGAACTTACTATTTGACAAAAACTGCTGGGAAACTGGAAAAGAATATGGCAGAAATTAGACATAGACCAAAATCTCACACCATATACCAAAATAAAGTCAAAATGGATTCATGATTTAGATATAAAGGCTGATACTATAAGCAAACTGGGAGAGCAAGGAATAGTTTACCTATCAGATTTATGGAGAACAGAAGAATGCATGACCAAACAGGAGATAGAGAACATTAAATAATGCAAAATGGATAACTTTGATTACATTAAATTGAAAAGTTTTTGCACAAAGTCAATGCAAGCCAAGATTAGAAGGAAAGCAGAAAATTGGGAAAGAATTTTTACAACCAGTGTCTCTGATAAGGGCCTAATTTCTAAAATATATAGAGAATTAAGTCAAATTTATAAGAATACAAGTCATTCCCCAATTGATAAATGGTCAAAGGATATGAACAGGCAGTTTTCAGAGGAAGAAATTAAAGCCATCTATAGTCATATGAAAAAATGCTCTAAGTCACTATTGATTAGAGAAATGCAAATCAAAATACCTCTGAGGTACCACATCACACCTATCAGATTGACCAACATGACAAAACAGGAAAATGATAAATGTTGGAGAAGTGGGAAAATTGGAACACTAATGCACTGCTGGTGGAGTTGTGAAATGATCCAATCATCTTGGAGAACAATGTGGAACTATGCCCAAAGGACTATAAAAATGTGCATACCTTTTGACCCAGCAATAGCACTTCTAGGGCTGTATCCCAAAGACATCATACAAATGGCAAAAGGACCCACATGTACAAAAATATTTATAGCAGCCCTTTCTGTGGTGGCAAAGAATTAGAAATTGAGGGGATGCCCATCAACTGGGGAATGGCTGAACAAGTTGTGGTATATGAATGTAATGAAATACTGTTGTGCTATAAGAAATGATGAGCAATCAGACTTCAGAAAAACCTGGAAAGACTTGTATGGACTGATGCTGAGTGAAGTGAGCAGAACCAGGAGAACACTGTACACAGTAACAGCCATACTGTACAATAACTAATGTTAACAGACTTAGCCCTTCTCAGCAATACAAGGATCTAAGACATCTCCAAAAGTCTCATGACAAAAAATGCTGTCCACATCCAAAGAACGAACTACGGAGTTTGAATGCAGATCGAAGTATACTATTTGCTATTTTTTCTTCCGTTTTGTTTTGTTTTCTCTTTCTTGTGGTTCCTCCTATTGGTTCTAATTCTTCCTTACAATATGACTAACGTGAAAATATGTTGAATAGGAATGTATATGTATAGCCTATATCAGATTGCACACCATCTTGGGGAGGGAGGCGGAGAAGGAAGGGGAGAAAAATTTTAAGCTCAAAAGCTTATGGAAGTGATTGTTGATAAATCAAAATACATTAATTAAAAAAAAAGAATCTGTCTTAAGTCTCTTCCCAAGCTTCCAGAAAACCTTGTCAGTTTGTTTCTTCTCCCTGGCTATTTGTTGGTTCATGAGGTGAAGCTTTTCATAACCTACCACCTTCTTCCTCCCCAAGAGTGTACATATGAACTTCTAGAACAGTGTTGCCTCCAGCTGCCACATATTTCTACACCAAGGTGATGAAGTAATCTCTTCACTTATTTGATCTCCTCATGGGGGCATGTGACTTACATAGGCTTTTAAACTTAAAACAGTGATAGTAAACATCAGCCTATTTTTTTCAACAGTTTTCTTTAATAGGTTAATTTGGAGCTGCATCAGTCACATCCCACATCATCTTTTTTCATCTTCAAATTATATATTGATTTTGATCTGAACTCTAACAAATTAGTGATCTGACTGCATACAAACAGCTAATTCGGAAATTATGTCCACATCAGTAACTGGTCATTTCTTTTCTATTAGAATACAAGCAATATCAATGGCAGAAGGTGGCATTTGGCACTCAATCATGTCTAATGAATTACAACTCTCTTCTTGAAGAGAGTATTCCTGAAACATGCATGAAGCTTCCATGCAGCATGGAGCCTTAGATTTTTTTTTCCTTCCTCCTGAGTCACACTTTCCAATGTATTTTTCACTGTGTATTGATTTAATTTGGATGGTCTTGTTGCGCCATTTGTACAATTTACCCATCTTCTGAAAAATATGTTGGCACATCAGCTGCAATTAATTTCGTTGTAGTCTTTTTTGAATGCTCATTATGAGATTACAAAAGGAAATGACTTACCACATGTAATATTGAAAATAATTAGATACTATTAGACTTATATCTTAAAATAAAAGGCTTTTATCATTAAAAAGTAATGGTTACTATTTGAAACCGATTAAAAATAGAACAGAATAATGGGATAGGCTAGCTAAAGAAAAATGTAAACGAATAACCCATTTCTCAGTAAGCCCCAAAACAAAATTACTTAGGTAACAACTCCCTACTTGACAAGAACTGTTGGGAAAGATACAAAGCAGTCTGGCAAAAATTAAGTTTAGACCAACATTTTGCACTACATTCCTCAAACTGAATACAAGAACTGAATATTAAAAATTACACCATGAAAGGGGGGAATTAAATCATATAACTTTTACAATAATGGCTTGGGAGAGAATTTTTAACTAAATAAGCAATAGAAACAATTACAAAAAATTACACATAATTGTGATTACATTAAATTGGAAAGTTTTGGCATGAACAACATTCATGTATCTAGAAAAAGAAGTAGTATACCATGGGTGTTGAACACTACACATAGCAGATTTTTTTGATATGTGAATTCGTTTCATAGAACTTTTTTTCTTTCTTCCTCTTTTTTTATTTGTTATAATAAGTGGTGAACTCTGGGAGGGGGTAGAAGTAAAGATAGTGTGGGAAATATAAGTGATATAAAAAGTTATCAAAAGTTTAAAAACGAAAAGAATTGGATAGGACTTCAAAAATCACCTGACACAATTTCAAATGAAGCATATGTAGCAGGGTCACTGGAGACGATGTGTGATGGCCCCAGAGAACCATTTGTCTATACCTGAAAAGAGAGAAGCCCTCTTCTTTCATCCTAGAAAGAGGAGAAATGAGCAATGGGCTGAGGAGATCAGTGCAGCCACTGCCACCGCCCCTACTGCCACTGCCATCATCAAGTAATTGATGATGAACTATATGGAAGTAACACAGAATTGATACGTAAAAGCCTGTAGCCATCTTTGTTCACTGAGAATGGTATCGACACTTCTTCTCCCTTCTCCTCTCCTTCCCAGAGAGGGGATGTGTTCCAAAGCTTATGCCTTTCTTTAAAATTTGTATTTTGCACTGCTATTCCCCTGGTCTTATTACAAGCCAGGACTAAGAAAAAAAACTGCAGATATCTCAAATATAAAATTAATAAAGAAATGATAGGCAGGTAGATAGATTGACAGACGGAGGTTACAGATACTATATTTGTGTAGTGCTTTATCACTATACAAGTTACCTTTACCTCATGTTATATTTTAATTTTTTAAACAATTAACAATATGATCTCTAGTGAAACTGCCCAATTTTACTTTGTTGCTTCAGAAGCATAAATTACGTTATCAGATTTGTCTTCTTTAAAAAAAAAGAAGTATCTTGAGTATCATGGTTTTAAAAAGGAACATACCAAATAACAATGTTGTTTAGCATCCCTCAGCTTCCAATTTATTATCCCCAGGGCTCCAGAACAAGCCTGATTATAGGTTCCAGGTCCTGGATTTTCTGAAACAAGCTTCTTAAAACGTGCTTCTCTGTTTTTCAGACTCAGACCTCCCTTTATATTGTACTAAACAGGAAAGAAAAGTATGAAATAAGGAAGAAATTAGCAATATATCCACACTGTTGTTATGATATTATGTGTCTATCTTCAAATGTCACTGTATAAAACCAAAAGAGAGAAAGTCTACAATCAAGGCTTTAAAATGGGCCACTATTCACTGCTCATTTGACCTTGAAAAGTTCCTCAACCTCTCTAGGCTTCAGTTTGTACATCTGTAAAATGAGGGAACTAGACCAACTAAACTCTCTGACCATCTGCAGTTCTCATTCTTGTGAGCCTACACTACAAGGATGGGAAAGAGAAAAAAAGGAAAAGAATTGGCACATTCTCAGAGCCCCTAAATCCTGTGTTAGAAGAAAAATGGAATATGTGTTCAGAATGTTGTTCTGTTGGACAGCTTTGCTTAACTGTTTTACTTTTTAATGAGGTTGGATATTTTAGGAAATGACCATAGTATTAAAAAAAAAAGAATGGCAGCTATAATTTTTAAAAAATCTTTATAAGATATCACTAGCAAGAATCATAAATTTACCTTTATCTTTCTAATGTTGTAGTGGGCTGGGCCTGGGGCATCATCCTCAGTGATAGTGGTAACAAGAGTGCTTTCTCGGGCTGCCAAAGAAAGAAATGGAGCGTAGCCATCTACAAAAGAAAAACAAAATTGCTGCCTGAAAAAAAAAGTTTAAAAATCTAAGAAGTCAAGCAAATCATTTTTTCACTACTCTACACTGTTGAATCTATATAATGTAGGCACCATATACTAGTAACATAAATAACATGGTTTGAAAAGGGTATATTATTTAAAGAAAAAGGCATCACATTTGCTCTAAGATAATCAGTACAAAGTCCCAGGTCTTATTTATCATTATACTTAATATCAGTTAGTATATGAGAGGTTATAATGCATCAACTATACAACAGATTGTACTACAGTCAGTCGGTAAACATTTAAGCGTTTGTTAATTCCTTTCAATATGCTAGGCATTGTGCAAAGTGCTAAGGATACCAAAAAAGGCAAAGAAATGATCTCTGCTCTCAAGGAGCTTACATTTGAATGAAAGTGACAGAATATAAATAACTAGGAACATATAAAACATACATATGGAGTCGATGGAAGATAGTCTGGAAGAAAAAGGCATTGAAATTGGGGGAGACCAAGAAGGCCTTCTGTAGAAGCTAGGCTTTTGATCCAGTAGATAAAAGGAAACAACTCATTGAAGGGGGGGGCGGCGTATACAGGGCGGACAGGAGAACCAGGAGATACTACAGTAGCAAAAACCTAGAAAAGACATTAACCAAAAGGAAAAGTTGATTAATAGCACCATAATTCTTTCAAAATTCTCAATTTTATACTCAGACTCAAATTTATAATTTGAGAACTGCAGCCTTTATCAGAGAAACTTATGTAAAAATTTTTCAGTGATTACTGTTTCCCTCTATCCTATTTTTTCCTTGTTCAACCTTCTCTTTTCACCCTATCCATCCTCAAAAGTTTTGCTTCTAACGACCACCTCCTCCAATCTGCCCTCCCTTCTATTAGTACCTCCCTTTTCTCATCCCCTTCTCTTCTACTTTTCTATATGGTAAGATAGATCTCCATACCCAACTGAGTGTGCATGTTACTCTCTCAATGAGCCAATTCTGATGAGAGTTCAAGCACTTACCTTTACTTTCCACATCTTCCACCCACTGTAAAAGTTCTTTCATGCCTCTTTTATGTCAGATAATTTACCCCATCCTACCTCTCCCTTTCCCCTTCTCCCAGTACATTCCTCTTTCTCAGCCCTTAATTTTATTTTTTTTAGATACCATCCCATCATATTCATTTCACACCTGGGCTCTCTATGAGTGTTCCTTCTAAAAAGTTCTTAGGAGTTACCCATGTAGGAATGTAAACAGTTTAACCTTATTGAATCCCTTATGTTTTCCCTTTTCTGTTTTTCTTTTTATATTTCTTTTGAGTCTTGTGTTTGAATGTCAAATATTCTACCCCATTCCGGTCTTTTCATTAGGAATGCCTGAAAGTCCTCTATTGCATTATATAGCCCTTTTTCCCCTGGAGGATTATACTCAGTTTTACTGGGCAGGTGATTCTTGATTGCAATCCTAGCTCCTTTGCCTTCCACAATATCATTCCAAGCCCTCCAATTGTTTAATGTAGAAGCTGCTAAACCTTGTGTTATCTTGACTATGGCTCCATGATATTTTAATTGTTTCTTTCTGACTACTTGCAATATTTTCTCCTTGACCGAGAAGCTCTGCATTTTGGCTATAATATTCCGGGGAGTTTTCATTTTGGGATCTCTTTCAGGAGGTGATAGGTAGACTATTTCTACTTCATTTTACCCTTTGGTTCTAGAATACCAGGGCAGTTTTCATTCATAATTTCTTGAAATATTATGTCATCTCTTTTTTTTAATCATTGCTTTCAAGTAGTTCAATAATTTTTAAATTCTCTCCTGGATTTGTTTTGCATGTCAGTTGTTTTTTCCAATGAGATATTTCACATTTTCTTCTATTTTTTTTTCATTCTTTTGACTCTGTTTTATTGTTTCTTGGTGTCTCATGGAGTAATTAGCTTCCACTTTCCCAGTTCTAATTTTTAAGGAATTATTTTCTTTAGTGAGCACAGAACCTCCTTTCCATTTGGCCAATTCTACTTTTTAAGTTCATCTCTTCAGTGAATTTTTGCATATTTTTTCCATTTGACCAATTCTGCTTCTTAAGGAGTTCTTCATTTCAGTGGACTTTTGCATTTCTTTTACCATTTGTCCTATTCTGTTTTTTAAGGTGTTGTTTTTCAGTATTTTTTGTGCCTCCTTTATGAAGCTATTTTTCATGATTTTCTTGCATTTCTCTCATTTCTTTTCCCAATTTCCCCTCTATCTCTCTCCCTTGATTTCAAAAATCCTTTCTGAGCTCTTCTAGGAGTTCTTTTGGAGCCTGAGACAAATTCACATTTTTCTTTGAGGCTTCAGATGTAGTAGTTTTGACTTTGTTGTCTTCTGAATCTGTGTTTTGATCTTCCCTGTCACCATAATAACTTTCTATGGTCAGGTTCCTATTTTATTGTTTGCTCATTTTTCCAGTCTATTTCTTGACTTTTAACTTTATGTTAAAGTTGGGCTCTGATCCTGGGGCAGAGGTGGCACTGTCCTAAGATACAGGCTTTTTGTGCAGTCATTTTCAAAGCTGATTCTGGGGGTCTGTAAATTTTTAGTCTTCCAAGGTGATATGATCTAAGGAGAGATATGTTTGCTACTCTCCTGGCCTCTGCTCCAGGTCTGTGAGTGACCACAAGTACTCTTTTCTGTCCTGGAACTGTGACTAGGTCCCTGCTCCCCTGTAGTTGCCAGATTTGGTGTGCTAATGCTTCTCCTCACCCTGGGATTGTGACCCAAGACTGTGACCTGGATGGAGCCGCTTACAGGCAATGCAACAGAGTCCTGCACCCATGCAGCAAAGGGTTGAGAGGGCCGAGAGCTCTGGAAGCCACTGCTGCTGGTTCTGTTGCCCTTATAATAACTACTATGCTGCTGGGATTTTGCCTGCTCTGAACTGGGCTCCCCTCTCACGCTGGTGTGATAGACCCTTCCTGCCAACCTTCTAAGTTGTCCTGGGCTGGAAAATTGTTTCACCCCATCCTTTTACTGATTCTGCTCCTCTAGACTTCATTTTGAGGCTTTGTTTTAAAGCTGTTTAGAAATGAATTTGGGAGAGCTCAGATGAGTCCTTTCCTTTTCTTTCCCATCTTGGCTCCACCCAAACCTTGAAGGGGAACTCTAAAAAAAAAAAAAAATCACAGTATGTCATTTGTACAGCTCAGTTCAGCAGAGGAAGAGGAACAGGGAGGTCTGCAAAGCAAAAGCACTGCAGCATTCAGGGAGAGGCTCTTCACCAGTGCAAGAGGAGACCCCAGACCCATATCAGGACATTACCAGACCCATCCAGGAGCACTTCAATGGAGACAGGTACAAACCGTCAGCTTTGTTGCCCACCACCCAGTTCTGAGACACAGATCCAATGTGGCCTAAAAAAGAGGAGCTGCTCTCAGGGTGACATTCCCAGATGGAGGGGCCCTAGGCAGTGTACTAAGAAAAGAGAAAGCTGAGAAGCCAGCCGCAGCAGTAGTATGGAGCAGAGCGTTGTCTCATTTCCACCATCTAGCCCAGCAGGAATAACCAGGGCAGGAATCCCAGATCAAAGAAAAACCTAACACTCTGATACTCTGAACCGGCAGAGTTTTCCAGCAAGCTGACAGGGGCTGACACCAGCAGCTGTTTACTCTTGCTCAGACATAAACCCAGGTCAGGAACTCACAGAGCTCAGACCAGGAGGACAGCAGCCAGATTTTGCCTTGGCTCATTTCATTTTGGGAACACTAAAAGCTTGCAAATCACTTGCCTCTCCCCGAGATCCTAGAATAACACTCAATATCCCAAGAAAGCAGCAGTAAGACCAACTCTGACTTTCCCTCAAGAATTGCAATAAAGCCCAGCCCTAACAGCAAATCCAAAGTCAAGAAGTAGACTAGAATGATCAAAGGGAAAAAAATAATCCTACCATAAAGAGTTATTATGTATCAGGGAAGTTTAGGAAGAGAGTGACTCCAAAACTTCTATAAGAAAAGCCTTAGAGAAAAATACAACATGAGCAAAAATTCAACTAGAATTCCTAGAAAAGATGAAGCAAGAATTTTTAAGATTACTTTTGTTTTATTATAAATGAGATGAGAGGGGTTGAGGGAAAAATGGAAAAGAAATGATAGCTATGGAAGAAAGAACTGAAAAGGGAATAGACGGCTTGGCACAGGAGGGACAAAACCTTATCCGAGCAACAAACTCCCTAAAAATGAGAATGGATCAAATTGAAGCCAATGACTCCATGAGGCAATAAGGAATTTTAATTAAAACAAGGTCAAAAGACTGAAAATATGGAGGAAAATGTAAGGCACCTCATAACAAAAACAACTGCCTTGGAAAACAGTTCAAGGGGTACAAATTAAGAATCACTGGACTATGAAAGTCATAAGCACAAAAAGAGCCTAGACATTATAATTCAATAAATCTTGAAAAGAAAACTGCTCAGATCTCTTAGAACCAGAGGGCAAAGCGGAACTAGAAAGGCTCAACCAGTCACTTCCTGAATCCCCAAAATGAAAACTCCCAGAAACATCACGGCCAAAATCCAGAGCTTCCAGGTCAACAAAAAAATACTGCAAGTAGCCAGAAAGAAAAAAATCAAGTACTGAGGAGCCACAGTCAGGATCGCACAACTCAGTGGATGGTGGTGGTTGTTCTTTGTGCTTGAAGAAGACCAAAATGACATCATTATGTTGGGGTCAGGCTACAGTGTGTCCAACTGTGGCTGATTAAACCAGTAAGAACCAGGAATGCTCTATCACAGGTTAGGCACAAATAGTCCACATGAACATTTGGAATGGAGATGTCTCTAAATTTACACATTTCATGTTTCTCTTGAGCTACTTAATTTCTACTCTGCTCAGAAGCACAGTGCCTTCTTCGATGCAGGCATGCCACTCTGAGCAATCCTGTGCCAGTGTCTCCCATGTCTCACAATTGATTCCAAAGTTCTTCAGAGAGATCTTGAGAGTGTCCGTGTATTGCTTCTTCTGACCTCCATGTGAGTGCTTGCTTTGTGTGAGTTCCCTATAAAACAGTCTTTTAGGCAAGCCTATGTTTGACATTTGAACAACGTGGTCAGCCCATAAGAGTTGTGCTTTCTTGCAGATGAGTTTAAATATTTGGCAGTTCAGCTTGAGAAATAACCCCAGTGTCCAGTACTTTACCTTGCCAGGTGATCTTCAGAATCTTCCTAAGACAATTCAAAGGGAAGTGATTCAATTTCTTGGCGTGTCGCTGGAATTTTGTCCAGGTTTCACAGGCATACAAATGAGGTCGGCACAATGGCTCTGTAGACCTTAGTTTGGCAGGCAGCCTAATAGCTCTTCTCTCCCAAACTTCCCTTGGGAATCTCTCAAACCTGAGCTAGCTCTGGCAATGCATGCATCAACCTCATTATCTATGTGTACATCCTTGGAAAGTATACTGCCAAGGTAAGTGACCTTATCCACAGAATTCAAAATTTCTCCATTTGCTGTAACTGAGATAGTTCCATGTATGGAAGGTGCAGTGCAGGTTGGTAACTGCCAGGCCAAAATTAACACAAGCAGCAGAGAATCAATCCATGCTGTGTTGCATCTCAGCCTTAGAGGCAAACAAAAAGTTATATACCACCCCTCCCTCCACTTGAGTCTTGGTTTGCATCCTTTTCAAATTAAATAATTAGTCGGTACAGTAGCTGACCTTGATGCCATATCTCTCCTCATTGACGGTGTATGATCCATCATGCTTTCAGTAAAAAAACGAAACACGAATGAATGATAAAGGACTAAACAAGGATAAATTGCTTACTTTCAAATATGGGGAGATGATACATGTGTTTCCTCTGGGCCCTATCATCAGGATCATAGAGGGAGTCCTATTAGATAAGGCCTGGGAGAGGTTCTGTTATGTCTTGATGATCTTGGGAAAAGAATGGAAAGAGCTGGGAAAAGGAATACACTGAAGGGGGGAGTAGAGAGAGGGAAAGGAAAGGAAGGTAGGGAAAATTATCTCACATAATCAGGGTGTGCAAGTAGACATCTATAACGACAGGGAAGAGGATGTAGGAGAGTGGCTGACACATGAACCTCATTCTCAACTGGTCAAAAAGAGGAAGAATATACACAAACACACAGTTGGGTATAGAAATACATTTCACTCAACAAAGAATAGGAGAGAGGAGAGAAGGGAGTCAGAGAAATTAGAGGGAGGGTAGATTAAAGGAAGGATTAGTATTCAGCAAATAGTCTTAATGATTAAGTAAATGAGTTTTCAGCAAAACAAATATCAAGCATATACAAAAACATTTATGGCTCTTTTTGAGGTGAAAAAGAATGAGAATCTGAAGATATGCCCATAAATTGGGGAATGGATACAAGTTATAGTACATAAATGTGATGGAATACTATTGTGCTGAACTCTTATCAGTGTAATGACCAAGATATATGCTACTTACCTCCTGATAAAGAAGTGAAGGACTCAATGCAGAATTAGATAAACACTTTTTTGGACATGGCCAATGTGGAAATTTGTTTTGATTGACTAAATGACTATGCATGTTTTATAATGGATTTTCTTTTTCCTGGGTCTCATTTGGCAAAGGGGAAAGGGGGAGATTTTAGCTCATTAAAACAAATAGAAAATAATAAATACAGGCAGACATAAATAGATAGATGGATGGATGGGTGGATAGATGGATGGATGTTGTTGTTGCTAGATAGACAGATGAATAAAAGAAATCATTAGTAACTTTGGAAAGCTGGGTTTCACTTGAATGATAAGGCGACAAGTCAGATTTCTGAGGGTTTAGAAAAGAGTGAGACGAGAGGAATTGGAGGCATTGATTGTAGTATCTAGCTTTCTCAAGGAACTTAGGGGATGAGATGCCTGGCAAGGATAGTAGGATGAAGTGAGAGTTTGTTTTGTTTTGTTTTTTAAGGATGGTGAAGACACATGTCTAAGATACACAGGGAAGAGATTCAAACTTGTAAGAATAAGAACCATTCCCCAATGGATATATGGTCAAAAGAAAGTAAAGATGTTTTTAGAGGAAGAAATTCAAACTATCAATAGCCATGTGAAAAAATGCTCTAAGTTATTAACAGACAAATGCAAGTTAAAACAATTCTGAGGCTCCAACACACACCCATCAGCAAAGCTAACAAGGAAAGAAAATGGCAAATGTTAGAGGAATTGTGGGAAAACAGGTACATTAATGTGTTATTGGTGGAATTGTGAATTGGTCCAGCCATTCTGAAAAGCAATTTGGAAATATTCCCCCTAAGTTAATCAACTGTGTATATCCTCCAACCCATGGAAACCAATATTAATTATACCCCAAAGAGATCAGAGAGAAAAAAGGGCCCATATGTATAAAATGGCACCTCTTATTAGGGACAAAGAATTGGAAACTGAAAGGGTATTCATCAATTAGAGAATGGCTCAACAACTATGGTATATGAATGTATAAGAGGATACTATTGTAGCATAAGTGACAAAGGGAATGGTTTCAAAGAAACCTGGGGAGACTTGTATGAACTATGAAGTACGCCAGAAGCACAATTTATAAAATACCATTATTGTTCTTTTCTGATTCTGATAATTCTAAGTAATAATTCACATAATTTTGAAATACTTTAGAGCTCTAATGGACATAATGACCAAACATGACTCCAAAGGATTCATGATGAAGTATGTTACCCACCTCCTGACAGAGAGGGCAGAATGAGCCTTGTTTTGATATGGTCAATGGGGGAACTTGTTTTGCTTGACCATATGTTTGTAATGGGTTTTGTTTTTCTTTCTTTCTTAATAAGTGGAGGAGGGAGAAGGTAGGAGAAAGAGAACACAGATTTTCATTGATTAAAATTAGAAATTGAACTGAACTTCAAAAAAGGATAGGGAGACACAGACATATTTGTAGGCAGCACCAATAGATAGGAAAAGACTGAAGGTAAGAGGGTGGGATTGATTGGAGAAAAAGGGAGGAATTTGCTAGAGAAAACAGAAATGATAAAATCCTAAGCCTCAAAAATAGTAACAATAATACCTCTTTTTTATAATGTCTTATAGTTTGGAATGCCTTTTCCTAAAGAAGGGAAAAAAAACCTGTGAAAGAGGTCATGCAATTATTATTATCCCCACTGTACAAATGAGGAAACTGAGGCCCAAGAAGATTAAGTGACTTTCCCATGATCATAAAGATAGTAAATGGCAGAGTATATAAAGATTATGCTATTAACTACCTCTTCAATGTTGGCTTTTTAAATCTATTCTTCCAATAGTTGTAAAGTGCTGGTACTAATTCACCTACTCTTCACTTTACTACCAGTTCACTCTCCTATCTTTTCAACCTTCTTGCCTCCTCTACAGATGAGTCAACCCTGAGGCCCACTCAATGACTGGTAAGTCCCTGCCTGAGACTGCCATATCTTGAGGAGTGAACCAATTATCTACTAGTACCCTAAATAATAATATCAATACAATAATAATATCAATACAATAATACTTTAAGAGTTGTGAAGCACTTTATATACATTATGTGTTCAATTTTGGATACTTCAAGTTTAAGATGTCTACCAGGCATCCAGTTTGAGATGTCCAGCAGGCAGGTGGATATGCAATTCAGGTCAGCAGAGAGGTTATGGCTAGATAAATAGATTTGACTGAGCATCAGCATTTTGTTGTTGTTGTGACCCTATCTGGGGCTTTCTTGGCAAACTGGAGTAGTTTGCTATTTCCTTCTCCAGTCTGTCCCCATTTTACAGATGAGGAACTGAGATAAATAGGGGTTAAGTGACTTACTCAGGGTCACAGAGCTAGTAAGTGTCTGAGGCCAGATTTTAACTCAGGAGGATGAGGCTTCCTGACTTCAGGCCCTGTACTCTATTCACTGTGACACCTAGCTGCCTCAAACATCAGCATTTTTTTTGCTGAATTGAATTTATTGGACCTGATAAGATCACTATGTGAAACAGTATAGAGAAAGAAGAGATGAGGGCCCAGGACTGAACCCAGTTGGACATCCACAGTTAACAGGTCTAACCTGGATAAAGATCTAATAAAGGAGACTGAGGAGTGGTCAGAGAGGTGGGAGAATAGGAAGAATGGTGTCCCAAAAACCTAGAGGGAAGAAAGTATCAAGGAGAGAAGTATGATCGGCAGCACTGTGTCAAAGGTTGCAGCAAGGTCAAGGTGGACAAGGACTGAGAAACTACCATGAGATTTGGTGATTACGAGACCCTTGGTAACTTGGAGAGCTTTAGGATAACAAGTACGGGTATCTCAAGGAAAAGAGAAAGGAGGATTAAGAAAAAGGCAAAAAGAATGAAGAAAGCAGAATGCCTAAAATGTGGCAAGGTGAGTCAAAAGGCAACAATTGGGCAGAAGTACTAGTATAAGAGTCAGGAAATCAAAATTAAGGACCCGTCGCCTAACGTAGGACACTTGGTCATCGTGTTTAAGACACACTGCATATTGCATTAAGGCAAAAATGTTACTATTTTACTGTGCAATAAAAAATTTCATCTCATCTGTATTTTCTGTGCCGTGTGGATTAAAAAAAGCGCAGAGCATCAAGCGACGCAGTTTGGTCCCTGCAGGTGTTCTTAAAGGCCCGTCCTGAAGCACGTGCGCTCTCGGGGGGCGGGGCGGGGTGACGCGGGGCGGTGCTTGGCCGCCTGCGGGGCGGAGGCGTGCTGCGGCCGCGCGGGCCGGGCCCTTCCCGGCTCTTACCTGACGCCTCGTTCTTCCGCAGGGGCACCTGGTAGGAGCCGGGCCCCACGTGAACGTCGGTGCTGGCGGCGTTGGCCAGCGTTATCTCCCGGGGGGCTCGGTCATACATGCCGACCCCCTGCGGACCCCTCCCGGGAGGGCGGGGCGGGGGCGGAGGGGCGGGCGCGGGCCTGGACCGGGGAGGAGGGCGGCCCTTGTCCCAGACCCCGGCCCGCCCCGCTCAGTCGGACGCGCACATTGCGCCCGAAAGCTTCCGCCTTCCCTGGGGCGTACCAAAAGCCGCCGCCCAATTCTAACAGCCCCGCGGAGGGCGAGCAGGGGGAAGCCCCGAAATCTCGCTTCCGGCCTCTCTGCTGACTTCCGGCCTTTGACGCGCGAGGAGACACACGGAGGTTGAGGGGAACGGAAGGGGGCGGGGTCAGGGCCGGGCCCCTCCCCGCCAGCCAGCGCGCTTCAAAGTTGCGCATGCGTGCGAGCGCTCCCCATGGCGCCCAGGAGGGTGTGCGCGTGCGCTGAGGCAGAGGGTGCGCGCGCTGGGCCTCCCTGCGAGCCGGCCCAACCGCCCTGCGCCAACAGGCGGGTGTGGGGCCGTGAGAACCGCTACGCATCCCGCACCCTGCAGCTCCTCCGGAGGAGCCAAAGCTCGGGGCTTCCACCCAAGGGGGCGGGCCGGAGCAGGGACCAGGGGGCGGAGGGGCCGACGGCGGCCTCGAAGAGAGGGTCACCCCGAAGGGGACGGGAAGGGCCCAAGCCGAGGCCCCTTCCCCTCCCCCCCACGTCGCCGCCACGAACGCGCTTGTGGCCCTCTGAGGCCCTCGGATCACTGTCACACGCTGTTCATATCTTATCAGGCCTTCTGCGGTCTGGCCGTCTCTGGCCCGAGGCCGCCCCGGGAGTGCCCACCTCCACGCCTGAGAATACCTGTCTTATTTAAGCCCTCCCCAATGCTATAAACAGGTACTTATTTCTTCAAAAAGAGTGCAAGCTTCCTGAGGGCAGGGACAGCCTCACTTTCGCATTTGCACCCCAGGTGCATGGAACATAACTGGCACCGATTGTTGGTTGATCACCTCATTGAAAGGGATCTGTTTGACGTGCCCTGCAGTTTATACCAGAATCCTGCCTTGCTGGCCATGCTGTTACTGCTGCGGCCCGGAGCATTAAAGGCTCCCGGTGAAGGAGAACCCACCAGCCTCCCCAGAAACCCATTCTCTGCTAATGGTTATGCCCCACCTACATTTGCACCCATGTCTTCTACTCCCTAACTCCAAGTTTCTGCCCTTTCAGACTAGACTGGGTAAGCCATACTTGATATAAATAAATTTATAATATTTGTCCTCTATCATCTCCCCAGCTGCCTTGCCACAATACAGTTACATACCGACTGCACCGATTCTCACTAGTGATTTCATGTTAATGTTGGACAATATCTAGCATTTACACAGTACTTTAAAGCCTGTGAAACACTTCACATGTATTATATCAGCTTATCCTTACAACTCTGTGAGAGAAATATTCTTATCCCCACTTTACAAATGAGGAAATTGAGGCGGAGAAAGGTTATGTGATTTTTCTCTTTAGGAAAGAATTGGAAGGAAAATAAATATCTTAGAAGAAAAAGTGGCAAATCTTACCCAAGTAACAGACTCACTATAATCTAGAATAGGCCAAACAGAAATCCCTGAGTTAGCAAGAAATATTAGAACCCAATCAAAAGATTTTTGAAAATGGGAGAACCTAAGATATGATATCAAAAACAACTAACTTAGAAAACAAGGCAAGGAGAGATCACATAAGAATCATCTAACTCCATGAAAACTATAATTTTAAAAAAAAAAGCCTGGACACTATATTTTAAGAAATTATCAATGAAAACTAACTAGATCTTTCAAAACCAGTGGGCAAAATACATATAGAAAGATCCATAAATCATATCCTGAAAAAAACTAAAAAAAAAAAAGGAAAAGTCCAAGAATGTCATAGCCAGGGGGAAGCTAGGTGGTGCAGTGGATAGAGGTCTGGACTTGGAGTCAGGAGGACCTGAGTTCAAATACAGCCTCAGGCACTTGACACTTACTAGCTGTGTGACCATGGGCAAGTCACTTAACCCCAATTGCGTCACCAAAAAGCAAAAACTAAAAAAAAAAAGGTCATAGCCAAAATCCAAAGCTTCCATATCAAAGAAAAATACTGCAAGCATCCATAAACGAAGAATTTAAGCACTGAGTCCGCAGGATTAGACAAGACCAACAGCTTCCGTGAAAGAGAGGAAATCTTGGAATACAGTATTCCAAAAAATAAAAAGGTATACAATCAAGAAAAACTTGTCTGCAAAGCTGAGTAATTATAATCCTACAGGTGGGTACCATTGGTGGAATAAAGGACTTTAAAGCATTTCTGATTAAAAAATCAGAGCAGTAAGGATTTTGAAATACGGCATGTTAAGAAAAGCCTTCATCAGCCTCCTAACTTTATTATTAAATTTTATTAAATTATTAAACCCTAACTCTCCCAACGTAGTCTTTACCCTGCCACCACCACCAATTTGTCTTTCAATTTTATAGCACTTCAAGTTTATTCTTTATTTTCTTGACCTAGTTGTAAAAGTATAAATTGGTCAGTTATACTTCAAAAACAAGGCTCTAAGATTCTTGTGTGTCCATGATTTCCCCCCTTTTCCAAATTAATAAAAATGCCTTGACTAATCCAGGAAAATTGGGAGTATCAAATTAATTCTTAGAAACACAGACTTCACACTTGTCTCCTATTTGGTCTCTTTGCCTCCAGTCTCTTCCCTTTCTAATCTGTTCATATGTGTGCCACATTGGTATTCCTAAGACAGAGAACTATTTATGACTCCACTTGTATACATACATACATAATATATGTGTATATATATATATATATGTATTTCATGTCTCCACTCAAATATATCAATATCTATCAGTATCTCTTTATCTCTCTTATGTGGATTCCCTGTTCCCTCATGGCTAAAATGTAAACTCTCTTGCATGGAATTTAAAGCCTTCCACAATCTGGCTCCCATCAACCTGTCCAGATTTGTTTCATATTATTTCCCCTTTGTGTGCTATCACATCCAATCAAATTGTCCTGCTATATATATGGTCACTGTTCCTTTACACAAATAGATCTTTGTAATACTCTTCCTCCTCACCTCCACCTCATGTAATCTCTAGCTTCTTTCAAAGGACAGCTCTACTACCACCTCTTAAACAAAACTTATCCTGATCTTTTCAATTTCAGCATTTTTTGCCTGCTCAATTATTTTGTAATGCTTTCTATATAATAAGCATTAGACTTGGAGTCAGAAAGACCTGAATTCTAAGCCTGCCTCAGACGCTTACTATCTGTGTGAACCTTAGCAAGTAATTTGACCTCTCTGGCCTCAGTTTCTTCATCTGTAAAACTGGAATAAAAGAACCTACTTCACAGGGTTATTGTGAAAAGCAAATGAGATGATAATATATTAAGCATCTTGACACCCTTAAATACTCACTATTATGTATTTTATATTTACCTACTTGTGTCTGTGCTGTATTCTCCCTGCCTAGAAGAATGTAAGCTCCCTAAGGGCAGAGATTTAGAACAGTGCCTTGCACATAGTAGGTACTTAATAAATATTTGCTAAATCTAACAGAATTAAGTTCTTACAAAAAGGAATTCAATTTTTGTTTTTTCCTGATTCTCCAAATCATCAATTGACACTGTACTGTGATAATGTTGTTGTATCGGTTTCTTGAATTTGGCTAACTGTGTTAGGATGATTAGGATGTTTACATTTCCTTAAAGAGTGTGTGTGTCTGTGTGTCTGTGTACCTAAGAACTATTTTTAAAAATCTAATCAACAAAAGTGTTCATTTCAGTACAGGGCACTAGATGGCACAATTTCACCAGTTTTCTCACTTAAAACGCAATCACTGTTACCATGAATGCATAATGTCAATGGAAATCTGTTGTTATTTGACACACAAGAATTGCTAATGTCAAAAATTATAATTTGTGTAAGTTTAGGAAAATCATAGCTTATAATAATAGAGTCGAGTTCTTATATTTTATATCTTCATTCATAGACAATGATGGCATCCATACTGAAGAATTTTAAAACAAAAAATGCAGTACATTCTAGAGATCATTTAAAGTTTATAGAAAGAGTAGGTTAATTTTTATTAACCATGGTTTTTTAAAGGTACTAATACAACCAGTACAAAAATATAGCATGACAAAGATTTTTTTATATGCTGAATTTTATAAATCAAACATTGCTCATACTATTAATTTGACTTTGATTTTCTTTTTCTTGTTGGTTTTTTTTTTGTTTGTTTTTTTAGGCAATTGGGGTTAAGTGACTTGCCCAGGGTCACACACCTAATAAGTGTCAAGTGTTTGGTCTGAGGCCAGATTTGAACTCAGGTCCTCCTGGCGCTCTATCCACTGTGCCAGCTTGCTGCCCCAAACATCTTGTTCTTTTTTTTTTTTTTTTTTAAAGCAATTGGGGTTAAGTGACTTGCCCAGGGTCACATAGCTAGTATGTGTCAAGTGTTTAGTCTGAGGCCAGATTTGAACTCAGGTCCTCCTGACTTCAGGGCCGGCACTCTATCCACTGCCCCACCTAGCTGCCCCTGACTTTGATTTTCTTAAAGAGTAGTCAGCAGAGTAAATTCTTTATCATTGATATTCTTTCCCTTTATTTTTCTTTAAGCATTAAATAAATTTCAAAACAATTTTAAGCACTGGTGTCATCTAATAGCATGATGCTACACAATTGTCTTACAAGCATAATCCTTAGAATCCTTTATTAAATCAAGAGGATTCGTTGCGGTGGGGGGGAAACATTGTAGTATAGGAGGGCAGCTAAGTGGGAACAGTGGATAGAGTGATGGGCCTAGAGTCAGAAAGATCTGAGTTCAAATCTAGCCTCAGATATTAGCTGTGTGGCCCTGGGTAGGTCACTTAACCTTGTTTGCCTCAATTTTTTCATTTGGAAAATGAACTGGAGAAGAAAATAGCAAACCAGTCCAGTATCTTTGCCAAGAAAACCCTAATTGGGATCACAAAGAGTCAGACACAGTTGAAAAAATGACTGAAAAA